AGCCGACTCATCAAACATACTTGCTCATTCGCTGGAAGAAGTATCTACCACCACTTCAACTACAGTTTCGCCATCAGCAACGCCGGCTCCGACCATATCCCAGCTGCCGTCGAGTATTCCTACTTCTACACAAACCAAACCGTTGGCTCCTGCTGATAATAAGCCATCGTCGAGCTCGTCGCAATCAACGCCTCCACCTCCTGATGGACCCACGAAGCCGATTCATATCCCTGAAAATACCACTTCCACTTCCGCTACGCCCTCTGTTCTTCCAGTGATTTCTGCCACTGTGCCTGCTCTCACCACGTGCCGGGCTACTGTTGGACCCACCTTTAAGAACACGACGCTCCAGGATTCCACGAAACTATCAGAAACGACTGCACCGACGCGCCCGAACCCAGCAGCTAGTATCACCCCGACTGAAATCTCCGTATCTGCCCAGCAAACAAATAATACACACCCTAGCATCATAGATTCTTCGAACCCGTTCCATGACCGCGTCCACCGACCTCTACCTCCCGTACCAGCGCTTGACTACATTGTTCCTTACGAGTCTAAGGTAGGTCGCTTCCTCAGATGCCGATCCAATCTACTCACTCTAGACAGATCCATGTCAAAAGCGTAGAGGAGCGAATGCTACCTACGATTATAGCGGCAGAAGTGGAGAGGAAAAAATATGCGGAGCGTGCCATGATGAAAGGGTACACCATGAATATCGCTATCGGTAAGCCTTTGTACCTCTTGAGAAATACCATGAGACGAAATGTCGAGGATAGGGATACAGCTCCTTGCTGGGGCTCTAACGACTGCCATCTCGGCGCTTGTTACAGGACGCGAGGTGGGAGATCAGTCTTCTACGCCTGTATACGATGACCGAAGGCTCTTTAGATCACGATTGTCCTGCCCGTCCTCGGTAAAGTTACATCTCCATATTCCCCAGAATCTCATTTCATCCTACTTACCAGGGGGTATATCAACGCTTGCAGCAGCGTTCCTCACTAAAGTCCGGGGATCGAACGAACTGGAGGGATCCCTGATGGTGGCAAAGGATCTTGAGCAGTTTATTCGGGAATGCAAGGGGTTTCTGGTAGATTTTGGGTCGAGCACGGAGGATATTCATAGGGGAGAGGTGCAGAGGCTGAGGAATAGGTTCGAGGAGATCTTGAGCCTGAATACGGATGTGTAAGTGAGCCCTTTTCTTTGTGGTACTGTCGTGGCTGATGGACTACGTAGGGAGAAGAGGTGATCATCGGTAAACGCGGATATCACATATCAACGGACAGAGCGGCGTAGTAGGACTTCGGTGTGTAGTAGAAGTCATGAAGTACTTAGAGGATCTGACGAGGGGTCAATGGGGAGCCTATGTCTGAACAGGCCTCATTTAAGAGATGCCGTTCCTACTACGATGCCAAAGCATCTCCGAGCGTCGTACACCCCCACTGGCAGGCCGTTCATTCCACTGTCTATTGTCAGAACATATTCTGCCTCTGACCGGAGAAGACCCATTTGGTAGGTGTTCAGGTCGCGCTTGGGGGATCTCACAAACCCGGTGACTTTCTCCGCTCGCTAAATTCCACTCTCCCCCCCCCTCTTCAGGGGTAGCTCATGCTGCTTTGAAAGAAGATATATATAATGGTTACTACATTCCCGCTGGTAGGTTTGCGTTCATCGACTTCAGCCGCTAGGTTCTTATACAGTTCAAAGCCTCCAATGTCTGGTGAGTGTAACCGCACACTTCAATTCTCCCGATTGAGTGTCTTGTTTACATATACATGGCTATTCTCCGTAGTGAAAAATATTACCCAGACCCATGGGTGTATAATTCTGGCCGTTTTATACCGGAGAAGGGGGAACGCCCGACCCACCCGACTCGGAGCCTACAGCTGTTTTGGTTTTGGAAGATGGTACGCTAGAAATTTACGTCTTGTTCACATGTTCATGCATAAAACATATTCCCATAGCATTTGCCCCGGTCGCTATCTCGCCGTGAACAGCACCTAGATCGCCATCAAGTCTATCTTAACGCTCACACCTTCCAAGGTCAGACTCTGACAGCTTGAGTCAAGTTATCAAACCTAGTGATACTTTATCGACGCCTTTTTGAGGTACGCTCTGAGGATCTCATTATATTTGAGTTATCCTGGAGTTTTCGCGGCTTCCCCTTATCTTCCAAATGCGCCATCAAGGCGCGCTCTGCTCAGGCGGAAGCGATGATAACGTCTCACGCCAAAGTTCGACGGCATGATGTATTCGTCCAGAACGAAATTCTAATCGACGCGACTGTAACTGTCTTGTAGAGGGTTGCGTCCACAGTGGGTGATAAGTTTCACAGGCCACTCCTTGCGCAACGATACGAAATACCTCTCGCCAACTCATACAACGAGGGGCACTGTCGATCGCTTGGTTCTAACCTCGGTGGCATTGAATTCACCTCTGCGGATGCCAGTGAGAGCCAAAGACTTCTAGATGAGCAATACATTTTTCTATTCATTCGACGGATAATACACAGAGCAACCACAAATATAAAAAGCTATGAATGATGCACGAACTTGTTAACAGCACCTCGGTGACTTGCTTCACTATGTTGTTTATACTGATATGTTCCACGCCTTGCCCAGGTTCTGAGCTTTGTCCGGCTAAGAGCACGTCTAAAAGAGCATGCTCATGCTGTAGGTACGCAAATTCTGGCGCAGTAGATTCGGACCCACCTCATCCCCTTGTTTCTCATCAGTAGGTGTAGTTTCCTTCGCTGAAGACCGGTTCAACGTCGCCCGCTTGCGCTTGGCACTCAGTGTCGTCCTCTGCGGAGTAGTGACGGTGATTGCATCCGGATCAAGGGGATTTGCAGATACGTCTATACGATATTCAACTGGGAGAAACGTGTTAAATCCTTCGATGAGCGTAGGGTTCCCGTGGAACAGTCGTGATACACGTTGTATGACACTGGGAATATCGATGCTAAGGAAATGATATGAGTTAAAATTCCATTAAACGATATCTGGACACACATCTGGGCTTTGAAACCCTTCATAATGTCCAAAAGCGATTGTAAACCTCCGGCTTATCCTGGTAGATGACTTTGAGCGAATCTGGGTAACTCAACACATCCGTGAAGTTCGACAGCCAATCTTCAGGGCTTCTTAGTCCAGAGGACTCGGAAGGTTAACCAACAACTGCCCCGGGCTCCGTATAAAGATCCGTCCCGTACCCGGCTCGAGGTCCACCATCGAATGCGGCGGGATCACATCCGAGCTCGATCCCGGAATATTGTGCCCCTCGACGACTGGGGGATGCCCCGTCTATGGCACGTCGCCCAGTCGCAAAAGTAGGTGCTCTCATTCACTCCAACATGATCTTTCTCTTCTTCAGCTGGCTTTACAACACACACGGATGGGTGGCACTCACCGACATTGATATGCTCAATCAGCGACTGCAAGGGTGTAAACACCTTGCCACACTCCCCACAGACACGTCATAGTGTCCTCTTCACTCTTCTCCTCTGACGCTGACTCGCTGTACACACGCGACATGATGGTAGCTGTTTGAGTATAGTTACCACGTGGCCCTTGGTGGTCACGTCTATACTAAGACCGGACCTTCCGTTGTCCTAATAACTGACGAAAATCATTGATCTTCCAACGCTTGTCTCTCTGTCGGCGGCCTTCAAAGCTGCAACGTTCGATGTACCCCTAGTCCTTTCGTACAGGTGACACACTGGCGGCAATGGATCGCGATGCTCAAAATTCAGCAACACTCGACACTCTCCCTCATCCTCTCCGCTCTTCGTTCGGCCTCAGCTTCACCTTCCAGCTCTTTTGTGCTTCCGATACGGACAATTGGTTACCCGTATCATTGTCAGATTACGCCTGAATGTCATTTCCTCAACTTTCTCTTTCACACAGGCTCATTTAGCTTGATTGAGATACAGTGCTCGACTACATTGTTCCTTACGAGTCTAAGGTAGACCGCTTCCTCAGATGCCGATCCAATCTACTCACTCTAGACAGATCCATGTCAAAAGCGTAGAGGAGCGAATGCTACCTACGATTATAGCGGCAGAAGTGGAGAGGAAAAAATGCGGAGCGCCGTGATGAAAGGGTACACCATGAATATCGCTATCGGTAAGCCTTTGTACCTCTTGAGAAATACCATGAGACGAAATGTCGAGGATAGGGATACAGCTCCTTGCTGGGGCTCTAACGACTGCCATCTCGGCGCTTGTTACAGGACGCGAGGTGGGAGATCAGTCTTCTACGCCTGTATACGATGACCGAAGGCTCTTTAGATCACGATTGTCCTCCCTGTCCTCGGTAAAGTTACATCTCCCTATTCCCCAGAATCTTATTTCTTACTACTTACTAGGGGGTATATCAACGCTTACAGCGGCGTTTCTCACTAAAGTCCGGGGATCGAACGAACTGGAGGGATCCCTGATGGTGGCAAAGGATCTCGGGCAGTTTATTCGGGAATGCAAGGGGTTTCTGGTAGATTTTGGGTCGAGCACGGAGGATGTGAGAGAGAGAGGTGCAGAGGCTGAGGAGTAGGTTCGAGGAGATCTTGAAGGACACAGACGTCTAAGTGAGCATTTTTCGGAGGTGTTGTCTTGAATAGGGAGAAGCAGTGATCACCGGTAAAGATGAACATGGACAGATTTGGTACGTAGTAAAAATCATGAAGTAGAGGCTGGAGCCTGGAAAGGGGCACACCTATGTTTGAACGCGCCTTGTATAAAACGGGGTAAGGTGTAGAGAGACTTCATCGTGGGATGGATGATGAATCTGTCCTGAGATCATCAAAGTTTCAGGGTAATATTCGGCCTCTGTCATGAACATTTGAATCGCAAACCTATAGACTTTAGACTCTAGAGTTATAGTCCAGAGTACAGACTCCAGATCCACAATGTCGCAGCTGTCGGCAGTGCTGAGTAGGCAGTGGGCACCCGGCAGTAACGAGTCGTGATTGCCTCTCAAAAAATGTATTGTCCTGCGAGTCCCATTGAAGGGCTTGACTGGGAATTGAACCCAGGACCTCCTCGAAATGTAGGTTATCTGCAAGCATCCTACCCTAACAAAGAATCATACTACTAGACCATCAAGCCGACGAAATAGTAATAGTTCTCGATGCCAATATAATCTTTTCGCGCCGTGACGCACTCAGGCTTGCCAGCTAACATCGTCAACGCTGGTTTCGCTTTCTGACAGCCATTTTTGCAATACTGTAATAGATCCTGTTTGTGTTCGATGACACTGTTCATGAGCCGTGACTATGGACTCGGGGTGTGTATCCTTGTAAATCTCGGTGGCACGTATCCGAAAACACTGAATACTGGGCACGGGTCATGGACAGAAACAGAATATTGAAGCCTAGGTAGGAGTTGGAAGCGACCTGGTCAAAATTCATGGCGTTTTTCTAGAATGGCTGTCCCATACGCGGTCGACTTTGAGTCGGTAGCAAGCTGGGAAGAGTCGCATCGGTTAGATGTTGTAAATGAAATCAAGACTACCTTGGAGCGGTTGTTAGCCATATCTCTTAGCCGTGCGTCGAGGAAGCGCTACTGAAATTGATCTCTGAAGTCGATATTTATTACCTCTATCAGATGATCAACGCCAACGAGGAATAATAATGATACAACGTTTAGTAGAGAGCTAAGTACGGTCACTTCTTTAAAGGTGTAATGGGTTTTGTTGCTTTTGACCTGGAAGGCAAGCTTTTCACGTCGCTTGTTTTGGATGCGGCGTCTACCTTCAAGGCGCTGGGCTTTGGCGAGCTGCCGTTCTTGGTCTTTCCAAGCGGGCTCGTCTTGGACGTGGCAGTGAGCTTAGCAGCCTCGCTTGTGGAGGGTTTGCTGGACTTGGAGGGGGTTGTCTTGAGAACGTCGCTGGACTTGACGGCGTCACTAAACTTCGACGCGCCACCAGTGGGGGGTACACCACTTGACTTCGTCGCGTCACTGGATTCAGACGTGTCGACTGTGGACTCGACAATTCGACCAAACCCTAGTCCGGCAACATCGCCATGCATGATCTCCTCGTCGCTGATATTCTCCAGTCGAACCAGCTCCCTGCGAAGATACGTCACCACGTCGAGCATAAGATCAGGGTACTTGACGTATTTGTCCGCCTCGGAGGGCGCATAATCGTGGACGCCAGACCCATCATCCCGATGCGCTTCCTTCTCGAAGTCGATTTTCTCAATGTTCTCCACCAAGCCTCCGACGAGGTTGACGGTACGACGGTACGAAGCAGGGGCATTGGGATCATTGGGATCGGGATATGCGATGCCTGCTGCTCCACGAGCGCCGAGTAGGTTCCGCCATACAGCAGCCGCCAACTCCATGTCGCCCTTCACCATGGCGTAGTCGAGAGACATCCACATCCCTGCCCATTGCTCCTTGAAGATCTTCATTTGCCGCGATACCAATCGCTCCGGTGCAGCGCCGCGCCGTATGGGCTTGCCGTCGGGTCCCATGGTAGGCGCATTAGGGTTCGTATAGAAAGATGACTCAAAAGTGTAGGGTTCTGTGGGCTTTGAAGGGGGTTGGAGCACGGCACGAATTCGGTCTTCAATGTCAAGGAAAAAGTGGTCCACGAGACCCTGCACGTATTCCTTTCCGTGCGGAGACGGAAGGGCACGGAAACGGACAGCAAGCATCCAAGTATGGAGGTTGGCAACAGTGAACCACGACTGGAACGTTGGCGGCAAATCGCAATCTAGGAAAAGTTAATACCTTTGCACGGGAAAAAAAAAAACCTGTGAGACATACCTTGATGCCAGAATGTCATCTCGGCATCTGGGGCAGCTGCACACAGCTTCGCATACAACGGAAACGTCCTTCTTCCTGCCAACTGCTTCGGAGACCCGTACCCCAGTAGATTGACAAATTTCATGAACCACCAGCGCGCCGTCGGCGAGGACTCGACTTTTCGTGTCAGCCAACTTTTCTCGTGTTCCAAGTTTATATCACCCGACAAAGGCTGAGATTTTGGAGGGCTGGAAAATGTCGACGGCGTGTCTCGCAGCGTTTCGTTCCTTTTCGTTGATATATAGCGGCTATTTTGGTGGAGAAGTCGTCGACATGTGCATAAATGTCGGAGAAGATACCGCTGACGATAGTGGTTCATTTTTGAGAGACGGTGCAACGAAGACCGTGCCGCGGCAGTAGTTCAAATAGAAGGGACGAATCCAGTGAATGGCTTCATGCAAGTGAAGTGCTGGATTAGAAAGAAAGACATGGAAATAGGTGCGTTGCCAGATTCTACCCCGTACGTCAAGATCTTGTAATTGTGGCCTTATGGTCTAGTCGCATGATTCCTCGTTTGGGTTGAAATTCGAGGAGGTCCTGGGTTCAATTCCCAGTGAGGCCCTTTTTAATTGCTTAAGCATTTAAATGCACATTGATGATTTAACACTGTACATACTATATACTTAATAGTATGTTGGGCTTTGGAGTCCACTTTTGGTCTTGCTCTTCAAAGAACTATATGCAGGCTCCAGTAATTAATAATGCAGTTGTAAATTTTTAAATAGAGACTATTTAAAATTAATCTATCACATCTATACACTAAATATATAAAGGAGCAGTAGCAGGCTTGACTGACAAGTTAATTCTCTATATGCTGCAGATACTTTAGACAATGTCCAAGGTTCTTGCCTCTTGGGCCTCTTCTTCAATAAGTACAGAGTCTCTTTCTGGGTGTGGATCTAAGTTATCTGTCTCAACCAGTTCATCACTCTGTGAAGCATCCCCATCCTGTGTTGAAACAGTACCAGTCTCAAAATTGAGAGAGGATACTATAGAAGAACTACTCTCCTGCCAAGCATCATCTGGTCTTGCATGTCCTGCTGCAACACGTCCAACCAGAAGTGTTGGTGCAATTCCCTAAGACAAATATATATTAATTAGAATATTCAATTAATATTGAAGTAGGCAAACCCTTATAGTACCACCAAGAGTACCAATGTAGTTCCCACTTAGTATGTTACAAGCCACAAATACTATGTCAATGACCAATATAACAGAGCATAGAGCTGCTGATTCAATCAGTGCTTCAATGACCCTTTGATATGAGTATATTCCTGCTCCATGACTAGACCTTGCAACACTTATAATGCAATACAATATGAGGATGGTGCACCATAATGTTGTGGCAAGTGTTAATGCAAGATAGGACATTATCCATGCAGCCAAATTGTCATCAAAAGTAGAATCTTGAATATTATTAGTGGTATCAAAGCAACCATGATATATCTGAATGCCCTTGAACACTGCAAAAAGATTAACATTTACATTTGATAATAGCTAAATTCAAATTTAATTACCTGCACCTAGAATAGTACAGAGTACTGGGATGATAATAATGATCCATTGATAACCCCATATAACCCAACACCGCCAAATCTGATAAGCATTAATTAATTGAAGTGGTATGGTCAGCAATCTTATAGAAAGAAGAATTTTTTAATAACCAACCAGTGAGGAGTCAGCAATAAATGAGCTGATACAAGAAACAATACCAGTTATCAAGGTTGGTTGAACTCTGGAGTCATCCAATGCTGTGAACACTGTGAAGTAGTTCTGCCCTTTATTAATGAATGCATGATGTACAAATGCCCAATTGGTGCCTTGCCAAATAGTGGCAAGAATGTAGAGTGCAAAGATGGCAAAAACCATAGCATGTCTTCCAATGGAGTTGTTTTTGGTAGAGCTCATAACTATATCCACATTGTCCAGAGGTAGTAAGCACAGTTTTCAAGTCAAAAAGACAAAACATACAGATAGTCCAAAGTGTGACATCTAGGACACCAGTGTAAAGTCCTATAGTAGCTCAGATATCAAGGAATTTGCCTAAAGACTATGGAGCTTACCATGCAACAATGCTTGTAGTATTGCAGTGTTAAGATTTACATTTAGATTTTCAAAAATATGATGAATGTTATCACTAGTGAGATCTGGAGGAAGAGAGGCTGCCTGGACTGCCATAGCTGATAATGACTATGCTTCTTCTGTAGGTCCTTGTCTTATACAAAGTCAAGAATTTCAATCCAAAATCAAACTGAGGCTCTAATGGCCTCATAGGGAAATATTTCTACCTTGTATAGTTGATCAGGGCAACAGAGACTGATAGCAATGAGAGATTAATATGCAACCAAAGAGAAAGGAGTGTTGGTTCTGCTAACCCTAAGTTTCCATCAATTGAATAGATTCAAAAAGATAGGATCAACTGCTCACTAGCAGAGTCAGTTTGAACCCCCACCATGATGACTGCAATAGTTTGATGGGAATTACAGAGACACTGACCAGTTGTAGCCATTGACAAGAATGCTGTTGGTTGGATAATTAACACAAGAGGGTGCCAGAATGTCAGCCTGGAACACCGGGTAGGGAGGGAGGGTCAAATGCTAGTCATGAAAAAATTTAGATGACCCCTCTAAATTTCAATGTTTTCCTGTAAAAGTTGACATAAAATGGCCTGTACATGTTTACTTTATTCAATCCTTCATTGTCTCAAGCAACTTAGCCTCAGAACAGTGATAACCAACTAATATTACACTTAGCTAGATTGGAGCTAGCCTGGAGCTGATTTTTAGGCATGTAGTGTGATTGATTCTCAGATTACTTTAGACAGAATAATATCTGATCACTATAGAGGCCTTCATCAATGTATAAGCCCATATGAGTGCGAAACTGGCATTGAAGTCTGATATTGCCAAATTGTCAGCTACATCCAATTCTGGCAGCTCTGGCATACCCGATATGGTATATATAATGTCATAATGATCATGTGACAGGGAGGGAGGGTCCAGCAAAAGCCCAAAATAATTTAATCAGGTTTAAAAAGGAAGTTTACACAAGTCTAATTGGTAAGAGTCTACTCATGGTTTTTTTGACCCTTCCTCACACCTCATACAGGCATCGGCTGCCCAGTGCATGTAGTTCCATATCCAGGTATATGCAGTTTCAGCCTTCCCACAGAAGCCTCTCACAGGAGTCTCAGCCACCTCATCCATGAGTGTGAGCCTCGATCATTAGAACACACGATTGACAGCCTTGCAGTTTCCTTCACTGTGTCTCTGTTTTCATATGGACTATATGTATCTGGTGGTCTCAACATGAGAGCCCCACTGCTCTCTTTGAACCACCAGGTACACCTTTTCTTTCTCTTTGATTTATGTACCATTTTAGCTCACTTAGTTTCCCTTGGACTCACTAGAGTTATCGTATCGTATCATATTCGCACACTTAATAAACTTCATTTATCCATCGCCTATTCGACTCAATTTGTGATAACCAACTGGTGATGTCTACTGGGTCCAATGCCTCTACTCAACCTACTGGCAACATGCCCACCACTGTTGGCTTGACTCAGCAATCCGCCAACAGTGGAGGGATGGGACAATCCCAGAGTCGAAGGGGATCTCCAGCCCCTCCTGTTAGACCTGAACTTCATGTGACTATAGACAGGTCTAGACTTCGGCTGTCTTGCGTTTGGACAATCACCAGAAGAATGACTTTGTTGTCTATAGCTCAGTGAAGAAGGACTAATGTCTTAGTCGAGTTCTGTGGTGAGAGTAAAGGTTGGTATAGATAAACTTTAGCTTGAAGCTGGGGATATACAGTGAGAGCTACACTACTTATATAGGAAAACTAGAGTACTAAGAATAGAACAATAACCATGGTTGTCGTTCGGAGAACAATAGAGAACAATGAGGTAGGCAGGCGACAGTTGCAAGCCATAGTACAATCATTGAGAATGTCTGTTATAGTCATGGTAACTGTGAGCAAGCGCTTGAGATAAGATGAGATAGCAATAAGTGCTTGATAAGATAAGATAAGCAGAAAAATCATAACATTACCCCCTCGTTAAGACAATCGTCCCAATTGTCATGGTTCATCCTTGGGGGTGTCGAGTTGTCGGGAGAGTTCATTATTCCAATATTCTTCTATAAGGTCCTTCCATAGGTCATTGTCCGGGTTTTTGACCCACTTTTGGAGTCCATCCTGTCATTGGGCCTTATAATATACAATACTGTCGCGATACTCGTGGTTGAGGACCATGGTGATGGCTTTAGTGGGGTCATTGGTTACAATTTTAGCTATGTCGACTTGTCCTGCTTGTTGGATCTTGTCTTCATAGTCTTGGATTGCTTCCTGAGCATTCTCCATCTCCATATCTCATACCCATGAGTTATACTCTCGGGTCCAGCCCTTCCATTTGACGAAGTAGTCCATGGCATCCTGTGCTTTTTGCCCCTTCTTTCCTCTGATTCGGTGGGGTTGGGAATCAAGCACCTCCTCCACTTCATATTGCTCTTCATCATTGATGAGGTCAGGTGGAGGCAGCGGTGGTGTTTGTTGGTTCGGGAAGGAAGGTGGGGTGTATGGGGACAAAAGCTTTTTGTTGAAACATGGGTGTATCTTCCAGTGAGGTGGAAGCTTCAGCTTGTACACTGATGCTCCAGCCTTTTCGAGGATCACAAAAGGTCCAACTTGTTTGTTGTTGAGCTTCTTCTTGGGTCGTGGTAAATGAAGGTTTGTGGCATTGAGCCAAACCTGATCTCCGACCTTATGCTTGGTTGCAGAGCACTTCTTTTTGTCGTATTGGACCTTCATTTGCTCTGCTGCTTTTTGTAGAGCCATCTGTGTTTGTTTGTGTACTTCTGCCATGGTAGTAGTGAAGGTCCCGGTGGCTGGGTTTAGGAATGGTGAGGTTCAAATGGAGTCGGGTACGAGTCATGGGTTGCGGCCATAGAGGGTCATGAACAGGCTCTTTCTAGTGGCAGAGTGTATTCAATTGTTGTGGGCGAATTCTGCCATCGGCAGCCAGTCGCTCCAGTCATCTTGTTGATAGGAAACGAAGAGGCAAAAGTAGCCTTTGAGCTCTTGGTTGACTCATTTGGTTTGCCCATCTGTCTGAGGATGGAAGGCGGTGGATGCATTGGGAGTGATGTCGAGCATTTGGTACAGGTCTTTCATAAATGTTGAAACAAATTGGGGACCCCAATCGGAGATTACAACAGTGGGCATGCCGTGCTTTGCGTAGATGTGGTCTCTGAGTATCTTAGCCCATCCTTCAGCAGAGAGTTCTATATTGCAAGGGACTGGGAGGATGGCTTTGGAGAATTGGTTGACGATGACAAGGAGGGCATCGTAGGCCTTAGATTCGGGTAATCTGGTGATCATGTCGACTGATATGTGGGTCCATGGTTTGGACGGGATTGTGTTCAGGTGAAGGGGAGCAGCTTTTGCTTGTGTGCTCGCCTTTGCTTGTTGGCAAGCTTCACAGCCCTTGACATACAGTTCCACGTCCTTCTTGAGTTTCAGCCACCAGTATTCTCATTGAACAAGCTCCTTTGTCTTCTCAAT